TATGCTGGTGTCAGATCTAGGCCACCAGTGTGTTGAAATTCAGTGCTGTTTCTCAGTCTTAGACTTTCTTGTCTACAAGAACCCGGAAATTATAATCTTGTAATAACTACAGGTGGCATTGCTTAAACGTTAACGTGCTTTTCAAGACTTATTTTTCCTGGAGGAGAGGCAGGCTATGATACAAGAAGCGTGCAGGCCATGCGTATGCATGTAGGTGTGGGATTTTTTCATACAGGCAAAATGGCAACAACACCCATGGTTTACAACACTTACATTTCTGCAAAAGCCTTGGACCAACACAGCAGACTCAGCATTCAGTTGTACAAGGCAAGAACATAGCTGAAGTTCATTTTCTGTCTATTTTCTCTTTGGCTTCACAGCTTTCCTCTTATCTGCCATCTCCTGTTTTCACATATATGCAAGTTTAACATTAGGCAAGCTGTCCATGATCTTGCTGCAGAGGAATATGATATTATGCCTTCTCTACCCAAAGTGCTGAAGGCTGTTAGGTACAAATGTGTTGCTGCTGTACAGTTCATCAGGAATTTCTATCTGCTTTCTGGTTTTATGTTTAGCACTGACTGTAAAGAGGAGCTCGCCGGCAGGCAAAGTGCCAGTCCTGGTGGGAAAGGATAAGATATTTTGCTCTTACAGCTCATGGATATTTTGTGTTTGAATGGCTGTGGCAGCTCCAGCTGATGATGTGAGTAGGAACAAGGAGGAAGTTGCCCCACAGACTGGGGCACTGGTCACTGAAGCCTGAGCATTTCTTATAGCTTTTTTGAATGTAATAGAGGTGCACTGGCATCCCCCTGGAGGTGCTGGGAGAGTGCTTATAACATGACAGGTCCACTGTTACGAATTGATCCATTTGGCTCTAATCAGTCTCCCATATCACTGGAAATTCCACTGGATGACCAGGGAACATCACATTCCTGTTCCTTGAGACAGAATCTGGCCACTGCACTGTTGCATAAAGCCAAGGTGACAGTTGGCAGGTCACAAATCCTCAGTAGCCAGACATATCTGCAGCAGCTATAAAGGCCATAAGTAAGGCCATAGGAGTGATGGATTTCTTCTTTTGAGCCATCTGTAAAACGTTAGCGTTTGAGTCATTCAGGTGGTAAATGTCTGATATGGGGAAGTAAAAGTATTTTAATAACCTTTGCTTTATGGAGCTACTTGGAAGTTCTACAGCTCCAGGAAGAGATTCTTTGTATTTCCCCTTCAGCAAGGAATGTCACAACAGAGGTGGAGGAGAGGATATGTTTTGCCTTATCTGCTCTGCTGTAAGAAACAGGGAAGTTAACATTTTCAGGGAACTGCAGAAACACGGTCTTGACTGATAATAGTAAGAACTAATATTTAATTAAACTTGGACATCATATTAATCATGTGTGTATATTACACCTTATATTCATCCATCACACTGTCATACCAGTACATAATAGTCTTTATGAGCACAGGAAAACAGCTTTAGCTTAAAAGAAAGCAGAAATGTAGAATAAAGAAATGTCTTTATTTCAGCTTTTGACTAAAACCACTGATAATCATAGAGACATGATTACTTTACTCTCAGTGAATAAACAGCTGCTTAAATGCCCAAACCATCATATATATCAAATCACCAGCTACTGCAAAAATTGGTGTGACTTCAGTGATTTCAGTTAGCACACACAGATTTCTGTCCTCTGACTCCTGGGGCCATTGAACGGAAATCCTGCTGAGCTATGGAAAAGTGGATGGTGTGCTTCCCTGCCTCCCTCAGCAAAATGTCACCCACACGCCGATTGTGGAGCCTTGTTACCCATAACAGTGCAGGGCAGCAGGAACCCAGCTCGACTTCTGAACACAAGGGAACTCATGGTAGCAGCAGTTAGCAAAATATCTATCTATCTAATCTTTTGACATGTAAGTGGAGGAAAATTGCTGCTGAATCACTGGGAGGGAAGAAATATGAGAGCTTAAGATGTCATTTTTACAGGCATAATTTTTACTCTAATGGCCTTTAATAGCATGTACAAGTCAGTGTAATGCTGTCAGCTGCAGCAGAGATAGAGTTATAGAAATGTAATAGCTCAAACTGCTTGGAAGAATAGTTTTCCTGCTGTAGTTAATTAGCAATGTATCGTGGTTTTCCTGTTCTGCTTGCTTGTTCAAGTTTTGAAATGGTAGCTGGTGTCTTGGCTGTTCTTTCCCATTTATTCATTGAATTTCTTCTTTTCCTCCTCCTGCAAATAAGTGTAGTGTCTTGGGACTTGAGGAACTTGCCATCAGGCACGTTACAGGACTCCTTTGATGTCCAGCACTGAGTAGCACTTTGTGTTAGGTATCTCTCTGACAGTAAACAATTAATGATGCCAGCTTTATCTCCAGTGTGTTTAGAGTCAGAAGAGCAGTTGCACATAATGCCAAGAGAAGCGCCATCTGTCCTAATAAGCGCTCAAAATCATTACCGAAAATACCTGTTTGAATTCAAAGGTCAGTTTATTTCCTGGGGAAAGGAAATCTGGAGAGCAGGGGGAAATTCAAATCCAATAAGCTCTAGCAACACAGGACGAGGTTATTCAAACACATTGTGGCTGTCATGAAGAGGGTAATTATCCTAGCAACAAAGGAAATATTTATTCTATCCTCTGAAATCATTAAGATACTGAAATCTGACCATGACGGTCTTCATTGTCTGATAGACTGAGAAAAATGCAGGTTGGAAAGGCCTTTGGAGGTCTCTGGTCCATCCTTCCTCTCAAAACAGCCAAACTTAAATCTATTTTCCTTTAATTGGGTCACTCAGGGCCTTACCCAATCGAATTTTGCATATATTTGAGGCTGGATACCATCGCTTTCTCTACTCAGATCCAATGAAGGCAAGCTCCAAAACTAAGTAAATCCTGCTCCTGTAAATTATTCAGCTCCTCCTCTTCCCTGGTGGAAGGAATGTGAGGGCCATGGTAGTGGGGACAGGAATCAGACCCACTGACTGCCATGGCTGCTCGTGTGAGCTCTACAAGAGGAACGTTTCACCCAATGCTCTAAAATAACAGTTACTGTCAAATGCAATATTTCTTTGGAGGTGAAACTTTTCAGAGGAGCAGCCTGATTTTCATGCACACACAAAACCAGCTGGGAATGTAGAAATGATGAAATTGAAATAGTTGAATGCTTCTTTCAACATTTTTCCCCTGTGACATTTTGAATCTTACTTCAGAGAGACTTTAAAAAAACCTTTTCTTTTGACACTTTGATATTATTTCAGCCCTTTGTGTGGAATATATCAACTGATTTTATCAAAATAAAGTAATTCAGTAGATTCCACATGACAAAAAAAAAAAAATCTTAAAAATTTTGAAAATTCATATATTGTTGTGCCTGTTTAGCACAAAACTTCTTGTTCTCGCTCAAATCTTGATGAAACAAATTAAGGACTTCGAGGTCATCTCTCTAATACATGCACATAAACTGTGTATATGTGCGTTTTCACATATGTCATACTTTAATGTGCTGCTGGCACTTAGAAATTCTCATGGGCACCTCCTCAGGCTAGTGGTCCAGCTTTAGTGTGTGCTTCCTAATTTTATGTCTCTAATTCATGATTCTGCTGACCTCATAAAACAGCAGTGAGGCTCTCTCTACACATTGTACCTTGATGTTGAGGCTTGACTCAGAAACATCTCTGACAGATAATTCATTCCCTTTATAGTCACTGAAAATGTGGCTTCATCTTCAATGCAGTGCTCATATCCTACAGGGCCCCATGTTGCATAACTTCTGTGCTTGCCAAACCTGGAAGCTACATCTACCAGATAATCGTTACTCATTCACTAAGAAAATGTATTCATCAGGCACATAGCTGAATGATATGTTTAGTTATTAGAAGACGTGTTTAGTTATTTAGAAGACCTGAGAATTTATGGGCACTTCATGTGTCTCAAGACCCCAGTTCGCTGTCACAGCTCTGGGCACATCAGTGCTGCCCTGTTTCTACAGAGCCTGCTGAAATCCCAAAATCTGAAGATCAAAAATATTTCATTGGGAACCTGAGGCAGACTGTCAGGTCAGGACCATCGACAAGCTGCAATAGGACGATATAGTTGCTCATCTGCCAAGCTTATGGGCATCAGCTAATTTCAGAGCAATTAGATTTCCAGTTTTAGGTTTGATATGCCTTCCTGATGTAGAAATCTGCTAGCAAGTGGGTAGCCGAGGGACCAGACAAACAGAAGAGCTGATTTATTATCTCTTTGTGAAGGCATTTTTAGTTCATGGCTAGTTGTTATATTAAGAGAAGGGACCTGTTGTACTATGAATATTACGGATGTTTCAAGAGGAGAAAAGAGTGTGCAGGGCATGTCCCCTTGACAGTGAAAAGACTAGAAGCCCCATTTGCCCTGTCCTTGTGGCAGAAGGTTAAAGTTCAGCCAGACAAGAGGCAGATTTCTGGGAGGTAGAAAGGGAACTTGGCTATGGAAAAACACACTTTATTTCACTGACATTTTCACAGCTTTGAAACACTTTTCTAATTTGCAATAACAGCTTTTGCAGTCTTGTCAAAATAAATGTCCATTGCAGTTAGGAAAACCCCAACATTTACTCAGTTATGGCTAAATGGGAGGAAGGTGTTCTCATTCATCACAGTAAGGAGGGTGCAGACAGCTTTGTGACTAACTGCAGAGGAAGAGGAGGGAGGAATATGAAGTCACTCCCTTGCTCCGTGACCTCAGACAAACCACAGCATTGATCTGTGCCTCATTTTCCCTAACTGGAAACCAGAAAATACTAGCTTTCCCTTGTAAGGCACTCTGAAACCTTATTTATTCCTGCTGTGAAAATATGCTGAGCTCTTTGTGTAAGAGGCAGTCAATGGAAACCGGCTACAGGCTCATTTTTTCTCTATTTTGAAAGGCAGGAGAAACAACCTGCAGAAAATGCTTTACAGCTTTATTTTTAGAAGACATGGATGTCTCCTTTGATGACTGCTGTTCTCACTGTTCTCCTTGCAGGTACTATGCTATCTGCTGCCAGCCTCTGGTTTACAGGAACAAGATGACTCCATTGCGCATTGCTGTAATGCTTGGAGGGTGCTGGGTAATCCCAACATTTATTTCTTTCCTCCCTATCATGCAAGGCTGGAATAGTATTGGCATCATTGATCTGGTGAGTAGCTAAGGGGGAACACCAACCTGATATCAAATATATTTGGTGCTGTATATTCTTCTTTAAAAAGATGTATTTGGAGAAAAGAAGGGAACAGAGGGGGTTTTTAAGGGGGTTTGAAATGACTCTGTCCTGGAAACATTGATACAAAGACAATGGTGGCCCTGGGATTGGATTTTACATCTACTAGTGAGTTCAGTGAGTAGTCCTGTGAAAACATGCCAAGCCCCAGCTGGCTCCTAATGGGTACCTCAGGAGTTCTTAGTTCCCCTTGACCTTCTTGCCATGCTAGTGATATTTGGAGAGCCATGAAACCCGAACTTCCCCAGAAGGGACAGCATTTTGGGCCAATTCTATCAATATCCTTGTCCTGTTGTGAGCCTAGAAGGAGGGGAGAAGGTGAAGTTCCCCTGTGCAAGTCATTTCAGCAGGAGTCAGTTTTCCTTGCTGCAGTCTGGCTTCACTTGCAGGATCCCATCTACAGGGGAAGGAGTTAAGAGCTGCAAATGCTCTCTCCTTCTAGTGTAAAGATGCAGGAATTAAAAATGGCAAACTGTGAAAACACTTTGTTTAGAAGAGCTTGCTCAAAGAGATGTGGCATCCTCTATGCCAAGTCTTAGCCAAGGAGCTGTGAATACTTTTTGGCTCATGGAGAATAACAGGCGCAAGCTGCCCAGCCTCTAGACAGTGTGATAAAGCCAAAACTGCTTCTAGCCAATCACCATCAGGACATGCATGCTTGCAGCAAGTTAATGATGAGATCTCAGACGATGGACACAATCTGCAGACTGCTGCCACCAGCAGTGTTCCTGGGAAGTTCCGTGTCACCCCCAGCCCTCAGCTGCCCTCCAGTTGCTGCAGCCTGGTCCCTTTCCTGTCCATTTGGTCCTTTCCTAATACCGCCTGTGGGACTCGGCTGTGTGGAACTTGTGCATCTGTGGTGTAAAAGCACACCCTGAACAGAGCAGTGAGCACTGCAGAAAAGCATGGCAGAGAGTGGAGTTGCTCCCCTTTGCTGTGTCTGAACTGGGGAGTTACACTGATTTTCACTGGCCAGGTTGAGGCGTGCTCTGCAATGCTGGAGCTGCAACATGGGATGGTCCAGAAGACCCGAGGGCCTGCAGTACCACAGAGCCCACAGTGTGGGCACAGGCAGGAGAGGCAGCAGTGGGTAAGGCAGGTACTGTGGATAGGAGAGCAGAGGGAGTACATAGTGTCAGAAAGTGGTGATGAGGTCTCCTAAGAAACAGGCTGCTGGTATTAGAGCTGAACTTCTTTCCTTGTTCTTTGTCCTTGTCCTTCCTGCCCCTGTCCCAGGTTCAGCAAAGGCAGTTCAACAAGGCTTCCAACTCCACCTACTGCATATTCATGGTCAACAAGCCATACGCCATTACCTGCTCCGTGGTGGCCTTCTACATTCCCTTCCTCCTGATGGTGCTGGCTTACTACCGCATCTACATCACAGCCAGGGAGCACGCCCGGCAGATCAGGGTGCTGCAGCGCGCAGGGGCCCCCACCGACGGCCGGCAGCACCACCCGGACCAGCACAGCACGCACCGCATGAAGACTGAGACCAAAGCTGCCAAGACCCTGTGCATCATCATGGGGTGCTTCTGCCTGTGCTGGGCCCCCTTCTTTGTCACAAACATAGTGGACCCTTTCATAAACTACACCGTGCCAGGGAAGCTGTGGACGGCTTTCCTGTGGCTGGGCTACATCAATTCAGGGTTGAACCCTTTCCTCTACGCCTTCCTGAACAAGTCTTTCAGACGTGCCTTCCTCATCATCCTGTGCTGTGGTGATGAGCGATACCGAAGGCCTTCCATCTTGGGGCAGACAGTCCCGTGTTCCACCACCACAATAAATGGATCGACTCATGTACTAAGGTGAGTGTTTCTCTGATGCTGCAAAATGCCTGTAGACACAAGAAAGAGTACTTCTCTAGAGTTTTTGTAGAGGATTGGTTTCACTTTGCATTTGAAATATCTGATTGATTAAATGTTTAAAAAGGAAGGGTGAAGAGAAGCAGCCAGAAATCCTTAGGGTGCTCAGACAACCTAGCTTTGTAGATGACAGATATGTGTTGGCATGCACACTTTCTCCAGAGGTGTGTTCAGGGAAGAACAGAATACAGAAGCTGTGCATGCATTTTGGCAAGCCCTGCTTGTCTGGTCTGGGGGGAACAACTTGACCCCATGGGGAGCACCTGGGGGATGCTGCCTGCTCTGTCTTCTCTAGGAAAGAGATCATGACACCTCCCATTGCCCCTTCTCAGACTCTGCCTTTGATGGCCCACCAGCCACTGCTGCAGCTTCTGAGCTAATGAAAGGCAAAGGATGAACTTCCCCAAACACTGTGATCCCGGGACACGTCAGTGGGTCTCTGGGAGGAGGGGGGCTTGCCATTTTGTTTGAGCAGCACAGCAATTCCCAGGGTGTCTGCCTTGCACTCTAACCCAGTCAAACTCCCAAACACTGCGGGAGCCCCAGGAGCTGAGCGTGTCTTGCATGGGCGACAGCCTGGTGTTGACAGTTTGGGTCCCAGTGAATTTGAGCCCCACACCATTCACCGAGTACCACAATGTGTTCATTGCAAGAGGAGAGGGTGTGGACTCTGCACTGTGGGGGTAGAGAGGGATTTGGAGGCCTCTGCGGTGTGAGACACCCTCTGCTGTCTTCTCCTCATCAAGTGGAGAGGTGGGAGGCAGAGCACAGGAGGAAGGGAGGGAAGAACAATGATCTCCCGTAATATCAGAACAAACTGCAGACTCTGGATAAAACTAGAGGTGTTTCTATGCAGCTTTCTAGAGGAGGTTTGGTTCTTTTGTTAGATGGATTCTTGGCTCTTCACATGCAGATAAAGGATTTGGTAACTCTGTGCTCGGAGCTGAACCTGCCCAGTGACTAAATCAGACACTGAGCACTTCCCAGCTGAGCCTCAACTGCAGGTTTGCCCTAAGCTCTCTTCTGCAGTGATTGCTGGCTTTGGAAAGAGTCTGAGCTGTTTAGTGGATGGGAGATGGAGCAGGACTTGTCACAGCCTTGAGACAGACCTCTCAAGCTTTCTAACTCATGAAGGACACTGCAACATATTTATCTTCTGATTAGAAACTGTTTGGGGGCCATGGTCCTAGAGCTGTCTGTGATGGATGCCTGGCACTGTGCCGTGCTCAGCCTGTGTTCTGTCAGAGCTATGCTCCCAGGGACAAAGCTGATGCTGTGGTTAGGAGGATTGAGGGAGCAGCCCTTGTTGGACTCAGCTCTCCATCCCGCAGTGAGCCAGCCAGTACCTCTGGCTGGGGAGCCGTAGGGATAAATGCTGGAAACACATCCCTGCATGGGTCTTGGCCACTCAGGCCAGCTGGGGAGGCTCTGACAAGCTGCAGTAAATGGTGGATTCCACCATGGAGCTGAGATCAGGCATTCCTCATTCTAACTTCTTGCTCCCACTTGTACCACTCTGGTCCCACATAGGACCTTTCCATGGAAATGTATAACAGTCCTGTCAATCTAGATGTGACAACCATTGTATGTGCAAGAAGCAAACCTGTGCAGGGCATCTTGTCCACTTCTAGCTTTTTGTGAGTACTTTAATGGATAAAAGCGTGTTGCTTCTCTTCAACATACTACACGCACAAATCAGATTACCTTCTGCCTTTCTGTGTTGCTCCACCTCTGCAGAAGGCACTTGCTTCCTGCTGCCACATCCTCTCCTCCCTCCCTGAATCCCTGGAGGGATTCAGCTCTGCGCATCAGCACTTCAGAGAGCAATTATTTTCTGTTGTCTTCAGCTTTGTAATGGATGAGAAAAGTGTGACTTCTTTGCCTGGTGCAGATTAAGCACCGATGCTGACAGAGGTGTGGGGATTAAAACAAACCAATGAACTGTAGTTTTTGGACAGTTAATCTTACTTGAGGAATTTTCATGTCTTCAGTGCTTCTCTCTTAAATGCAGAGAAGGTTGGACTCAACATGGATGGAGGAGAAATTTGGTGAGGTGGGCTCTCTGAAGATGTAATGTATATTTCTTTACTAGTTTGGATATATAAGGGATTTGTGCCTAGTAAATGGAATAGAAACCTTCCTGTATGGGCTGACTTCATACCAGCCCAACTGAGAAGCTGCACAGGGGCAGTGCCTGGCTCACACACTTCTTTTCCGACCTCAAAGCTGTTTCTTCCTGACCAAGAGCTGCAAATGGGGAGTGTGATTTTACAGCTGGTTTTTGTATCCTGGAGGGGGGAAATAGTGAAGAGCAGGAAAGACCTTGTGCTGGGTTCCTTCCCCAAAACCTGCAGAGATTAGTATTTTGTATTAAGTTGACATGGGTCATTTAGCCTCAGAGGGAGTCAGGAGTAGGCAGATTGGGGTTTTTAATTCCTTTCCACTTCCAGTCATGAGAAGATCTGAACTTTCCTTCCATCCTATCTGTCCAAACCATTCTGTCCTTGCTCACAATCAACTCACCGGTGCATTTCCAAGTGCAAGAATATGCTTGTCACTGTTAAAACTCAGGCTCTTGCTCTTGGAGGCACCTCTTGTGAGAGTGCCTTCTAGGGAAGGGACAGCAATTCTTCTATTCTTCTTCTGATAATTTTAGTGTCACAATGTTATGACATTACAATTTTGGGATTTTTCACATTTATATTAGGAATGGGAAAAAAAGAAGAAGGAGCAGCAGAGTGCAATAAAACACGTCAGCAAGAAGAGGCAGATGCTCTCACCACACCCAGACTGAAACCACTTGGGAAGCAGTTCTCATTCCTTCTTTCTTTTATAACTTATTTTTCAAGAGATCTATAAAGACTGTGGTGCTCTGGGTGGCCCAGCAGGGAGAGACTTTGTACAGCACTCCTTGGGCCAGACCCAACTGCAGTGACGATGGTGCAAGGGAGGTGACTGCACAGTGGCTCAACTATGATATGAGAGTGATCATAACTTTCTTATTTCCCTGGCAACCGCCTCACTTTAAGTTATGAACCGGAAGATGAGGAAAAGATTTTCTGTCACCATTTAGTTCTCGAACTTTCCACCAGCTGGTGTGAGAGACACCCATTTGTTGGGCATAGTAAGACGTGACACAAAGTGTGTTCTGAAGATGTCACAAGCAGCTGGGAGATAGGATTTGGTCAGAGTTGAATCTGTGTGTATGATGGGAAAGAGTATTAGAATTCAGTATTCAGCTTTGAGAGAAAATTTAGGTTTGCTGTTTTCCAATTTTGCTTTCTGCAAGCATAGGAATTGCCAGAACCCCTTTTCTTACCCCTGAATATTCACCTATTTCAATCCTGATGTGTACCATCAACTGCAAAATTCAGTCAGGACACAGGCAAATGGTGAATTGAAATTTGCAGGTGTGGCTACAATCTGAAATTCACACGCTATTCATTTTTCAATGGTTGAGATTGCAGCTCACATGTCATATACAAAGTTTTGTTTCTCTGGCTGCAGCACAAGTTGTGTAATTCATTATAAATATTTGCAATTCATAGCTCTAATAACCTGTGGTTTGGAATATCATTCATTGAGAGGACTGGGGAATCATTCTGAATAATGAGGGGATAGGAGAATTTGCAATGAGCACTCAACTAACGTATGGCAAAAATTAGTACAATTATTAATTGCAATAGAGATGGGTTTCTGGATGGCTGTAACATTTGTTCAGTTCTGTGCACCATGAGAGTGAAAACAAAATGCCATAATCATCTGAACAGTTCTGTCTTCCCCTTTAACCATATTGCTTGCATATCTTTTGTCGCACAGAGATATTTATGCAACACAAAACAACAAACTCATGCCTTCATGAATCATCAAACTCTCATTTTGCACAGGTGGATGGGAACTCAGATCAGCATTGCTTGAATTCTTGGAAAAAACAAGATCTGAATTTTGCCACAGCAAAGATGAATTTGAGTAACACATATTTGAGCAAGGATTGGAGTAGGCAAACTCTGGAATGTTTAAGTCTAAGAGTTCACTTTGGTGCATTCCCCATTTCCTCTCAGAAGTGCACAGTTCAGCACAGTACAGTGTATTGGTATCTTCAGGGAATGATACAGTGAGTGGTTTATTTACTCATTTTCCATCAGAGAGACAGGTCGTCTCAGACAAAGCCGATGCCAGTTTTATTTCTCCAAAGTAAAACACATCCTGATTTGCCTTTTAGAAGAGCCAAGAGGAACAAAGTGAAAAAAAAAAGCAGCTGCACGCTGGGGGCTGGAAGTTCATTGTCTTCATAAATACAGAATTACATTAATAAGCCAATCAGCCCACACTCGTGTCAGCACTCTGCAGGTGCATAAAACACTGGGAGAAGTGTGCAGTAAACCACGGCGTGCAGCCGGCACTCGACGCCAGAGCTCTGCTGTGGAGTCTTATTGGTCCCAGGAGGGAACATGAGTAATTGTGCCAGTAAATCTCCCAAACTGCAGCGAGCTCCGGTGCTTCCTGGCTGCTGCTGGAACTGGCAACACAGCAACTCAGGTCTCCAGGTCTTAGAAGTTTAGCAACTCCATGGCTTATGGATCTATTGGAATACAAATAAATCCACGCTGGCTGTAGGGAGGAGAAGGTCAGAGCTCCTATGGAGCAAAGGAAGAAGTGATGCGCGCCTATCAGTGATTTCACGGACTGCAGTTGTGGCTGGACTTAGAAAACACAGAGGTTAGTTACTCAGAGCTGCTTTCTGGTGGAACCAGCAGGTCTTTCTCAAGGATTTACAAGTAAAATAATTCCTCCTGTTCTGCCTCCTCCTGTTCCTCTTATCTCTTATCCTCCCTTAGGCACTAAGACAGCCGCAGAGACTGCAGAGCTTCCTGAGGCAGAATAACAGACTCGCTGCTGAGGTTCAGAAAGCCCCAGCAGATCCCACCGCTCCTCCGCAGCAG